GGCAGGACGGACCGTCACGGGCGTGACGGACCGTCACGGAGACTTCAGTGAAAATCCACTCTCTGAACTTTGCGACGACCTGCAGGACGGACCGTCGCAGGCACGACGGCCCGTCACAGGTTGCGCAAATCCCAGGCAGAATCGGATTTCCTTACACGTTTTAAGGGACGTTTTTGGACTATTCTTTCCTTAATTATAGATTTCGTGGGTTTATATTAACAACTCAAATTCTTGGGGGTTAAAAGAGGTAACCCTAAGTTAATTAGTGGGGTATTAGCGCCATCTTTTATTCTTAATTATATACTATTTTTTTTATTTAACGACCCTTGGAGTGGGTCAGGGGCTTAGCAACACCCCCAGGCCTTAACATTCATAAAAACAAAATTTACATGAAGGGGGACATTAGGCCTTACCTTCTATCATTTGGTGGTTAGAATTGACTTATCAATAAGATTAGTCAATTCAACCTTACAATAAGATGCAATCAACAAAATAAAATACCTAAAAGAGGACTCCTCTTTTTAATACAATATTCTAAGAATGCATAAATGAGGGATACTATCCCTTTACAAGAACTTATAAACAAGGAAAAACCTATCTATTACAAAAAATAGGTTTAAGTGATATTGAAGCCACAGATTTGTCATTCATATAATTCACTATGGAGGATGTTTGATTCTCTTTGTTTTCTTCCTTCTGAAATTTTGTATCCCCATTTTGTCTAATATGTAGCTTCCTCTGATCAATCCAGTTAATTGTTGAGTAGTGTAGAAGTGTTGAATTATGTCTAAATTGTGACTCCACTTTGCTAACAAGTCTGCAGTGCCATTAGCTTCTCTATATATGTGTTTGCAATGAAAATATACCAATTTTCTGCTTATTTGCTGAATTTGCTGGACAATGTTTTGACATCTCCAAGGTATACTTATTGTGTTGTTTATCCATTTGCATACCAGTTCTGAGTCTACTTCCATCTCAATGCATTTGTAGCCATGTTGTTCACACCAATCCAATCCATAGAGGGCTGATTTGAGCTCTGCAATATTGTTAGTACCTAAGCCTAAAGGTAATGAAAAAGCATATATTATTTTACCTTGGTGATCCCTTACTATACCTCCACCTCCAATCTTTCCTGAGTCTTGTATAGCACTGCCATCAGTATTGAGTTTGTACATGCCCTCCAATGGTTTTTTCCAGCCTACCATTGTAATTTGAAGTTGCTGTTGACAATGATCTAATATATTGATCAAGCTGTCCCAATTCTGTTTTCATGGTATGTTGGGATATACCATTTTTACTACCTGCATAGTATCTTTAAAAATACCATATATAACTCTATGAACACTGGATTTCTTTCCTCCATATTTTACAGCACACCTGTTCTTCCATAAATTCCAACAAACAAAGTTAGGCAAAATATAATTAAGTAACTTATATACCTCATTTTGTCTAGGCTGATTTATCCAGCATAATAACAGACTTCTCAAGTCTGTTTGATTATATAATGCCCCAAGTTTAGCAGCATCATAATGCCAAATATATTTAGCAAAATGGCCAGTAATCAGTATATGATTAATATCATCAGTGCCTTTCTTGTGACAACAATAACATTCAACCTCATTTCTTCCTAACTTCTGCAGATTTTCATTAGTTGGCAATTTGTTCCTCAAGGCTCTCCAAATAAAGAAAGATACTTTGAAAGGAATGTGTTTATGCCAAATAATAGTATTAATAGGATCCTTAACCCTCTTCTTTCTAATAACTTCCCATGCAGATGCAATAGTAAACTTACCATTATCTTCAGGTGTCCAAATAGCATTATCTGTATTCTCAGGATTATAATGAAAACTGGTTTGAAGAATATCAGGCACAAGTATAGGAGGAACATTTTGTCTAATAATGCTTTCATTCCAAGTACCATTCTGCAGAAATTCAGAAACAGTACTATTGTTTAAATTATATACTAATTAGGGTAAAAGAAAGAGGGTTTGAATAAGAAAAATAAGAGAGAACAAAAAGAGACAGAAAAAGAAAGAGAACGAGTAGAAAGAGAGAGAAACAAAGAGGATAGCAAGGATTCTGAGAAGATAGATTGTTGATTTCAATTCTTCGGTGGAGGTAGGTTATGGTTATTTCATGCTATTCGTAGTAAACTCTTAATAGTGAATGATATGTGTTAGTAGTATTGTAAACCCTTCTATATGCTTAATTGTATGCTTGCATGAATGATGTGATTATGTAATTATGAATAAATAAGCATGATGAAGCTATTGAATCCCAAATCTTGAAAAGAAACCCTAATCTACTTTGATAATGATGATGCCTTGGTATGAAAGAAGGCTTGATGAATGAAAGTAGTGAGATTAGGGGATCGGGTGCCACGTTCCGGTACCAGGATAGAATATGGATCGGGTGTCACGTTCCGACACCAGGATAGAATATGGATCGGGTGCCACGTTCCGGTACCAGGATAGAATATGGATCGGGTGTCACGTTCCGACACCAGGATAGAATATATATGGATCGGGTGCCACGTTCCGGTACCAGGATAGTATATGAGGATCGGAGTGTCACGTTTCGACACCAGGATAGAATATGGATCGGGTGCCACGTTCCGGTACCAGGATAGTATATTGAGGAGCGGAGTGTCACGTACCGACACGAGGGGAATAAAGATAATGAATCTTGAAATATGATAATATATCCAATCTAATGAACTAAATTCCCAAATGAGTATGATGAGGAGGTGTGAGTCCTCATTGATGTGCTTGGTGTTGTAACCAAGGGTTATGGTAACTATAAATGCTGCATGTTAAGGATATTAGTTGATTTTATGATATTGCTTAATACATACTGTTTCCTATTTTGAGTTGACCGATGATATCTACTCAGTACCCGTGGTTTGTACTGACCCCTACTTTTATGTTTTTCTTCTTGTTATTTGTGGAGTGCAGCAAACGTGCCGTCATCTTCGACTCAACAGTAACTCAAGCCAGTCTTCGTCACACCGGATCTTCAGGGTGAGCTAACGCGTCTAGCTTGGACTGGATCTTCTCCTTCATGTCTTGATGCCTTGAACCTCCGGCATGGACTAGCTTCTTATGTATTTTTAGCTTTTAGAAACTCTTAGAATTAGTAGTTTAAAGTAGATGTTCTTGTGATGATGACTTCCAGGTTTTCGGAATAATAGATGTTGAATATTGATAGTTATTGAATTGGTTTTTATTAATGAGTTTAAGTCTTCCGCATTATTTTCTGTTGATGTTACATTGAAATGTTAAGGTTTAGATTGGTTGGTTCGCTCACATAGGAGGGTAAGTGTAGGTGCCAGTCGCGGCCCGGATTTGGGTCGTGACACACCTATTAAGCACTATGAACTAAAAAATAATAATTATATGTCGAACTTTTCAAAGATAATTTTATTTTTAAAGAGTAGTGATTTTACTTTTGAGGGTAATTTGGATACAAGAAATGAATGAACTTACCAGATCACCCTTAACTTTTCAACTAAATTACAAAAACATTTAAAATTTGTTATTCGTGTCGAGTCATGCCAAAAAATTATCTTGTCAAATATAATTTTCCGTTTCCGTAAAACTAAATGGAGAGTAATTTTCAAAAGTATGAATTATGACACATCCTTATCTTTGGGAAGCTAGGAGTTAGGTTGGTGGAATGGATGTGCAATCATAAAGACTTTAAAATTAAATGTTTGGAAGTGAAAAGTAGTGTGTGATCTCTCAATGATAGACCAGCTCATTCCAACACTTTGGTAACAAAATCAAACGTGGATAATTCTTACTCGTCCAAACTTCTTTTCCAACACAAACTGGCCCATATGGATATCCATATGTGTATATTAGACTTTTATATTAACGTTACATTTTATCCCTATCTTTTGAATATAAAGATTTTTTTAATAGATTCTTAGACTAAAAAAAGTTATCAAAGCAGAATATTAAATGAAAATAACAAGATACATCAAATAAATGAAGCAACAATAATACTAAAAAATGAAGAATAAGGTATCACGCTAATACTAAATAAAATACAACCAAATAAGGAGAAGATGTGTAAAGGAAACGGACCCCGACCTCTCCCACATAAAATATGAAAGCCCTTTATACTTACTATCCTTTTACCTAATTCTCGATCTTTTATATCTTTTTATTTAAGGACATATCTTCAGTAAACTAAAGATGAGTTATGTCTTTTGTAATCACTTCCCTTAGTTCTTTTACATCTATGTTTTGTCTAATCACCTCTCATAATTCTTTTTGATCTTTATGATTTTATCTCTACCTCTCCTAAAATCTATTATAATCAATCTCTCACACCTCCTCACTGGTGCATCTGTGCACCTCCTCTTGATATGTTTAAGCCATCTTGATCTTGCTTCCCCATCTTGTTCATCATGGAGGCAACTACCACCTTATCCTATATAACATTTTTCTTGGTGTTATTCCTCTTAGTCTGCCCAGACATGATCGAACATTCTAGTCTCTAAAGTGGCATTAAACAACCCACAACTATATTGCTTGCGCTCTTACAAAATTCCACCAAGATCGTACCCACTTGATCCAATTGTTCTTCCCCTTCTCATCCACTGAATTTTCCCCTTTACCTCTACAAACTTTATACATCTACAACATATAAAATTTCTACAACTCTCAAAATGCTCTAATTCCCCAACACAGTATTCATGTCTCCCTTATCATTCAAGAGCATATGAAAATACAGTTGGCATCTCCATTTAATGTGATATCATGATTGTAATAGTCATACATGTAATAGCATCTTTAATATAATAACATAATCTAAAATTCATACAATCGAACCTAGCTTGTCTAGTTGTTATAGTTGTATGATTGTACCTCATCATATTTCATGATATCATAAGTAATTTATATGCATGAACAAAACCTTATTTTAGTTTTGATCATTTTACTAACTCACAACCTACTAAATCCTCTAATCATATACACTTATATGACCAAAAATTCATTTATTTCCTTCTCATATTCCATTTAATCATATAGGTAAGGGATGCTGATCAAAGTCACCTTCATATGCCAAAGTTCATCAAACATATGACAAAAGGTCTTGAGGCATATACAATAGCACTTGTTATCAAATTCAATTAACTTTGCCAATAGAAAATAATGTATCATCATCCACCCTAATAGGGGCATCTATATTTTTGTAAATCTATATGAATACCAGAATCATCGACTTGTAAGTACGTGGCTGAACAGCTTAACAGAATCAGTAGAACTAATTTTTTTGGCATGCACAAAATGGAGGGGAGAAGAGGGGATCAAGAGAACAATATGTCGTGCTCTATATCTTCAGAGGCTGAAAAACTGTTGCTTTCCGGCTCCCCTCCCTCCTCCTCTTCCTCATCCTCCTCACTGTTCAGTGCTGAAGTTAAAGGCTCGAATTTCCTCCGTGCACCAGCCCCACTTCTTCTTCGAGTTTCTGCAAAAATGTTTCATCTGATTAGCACTGTAGCCACCAAGTAATGCTACTATGACTAGAAGTGGCAACAGTATTGGGACTCACTCTTATTAGTAATCGCAGAACGTGTAAATGCCAAAAAATCATCCCATTTGAATTGTCTTAGTTCCTGCTTCTCTTCCTCGGAAAGCTCAAAATTCGGTTCCCTCCCACACATAAAAGCGGCCCTACAAATACAAGGGAAAAAGAAAAAATCCATCCATATTAAAGCTTCCATAGAAGAATCATCTAATAGCAATAAAACTGCACAAGGATCTTGTCGCTGTAAATTTCTGAAAATTGGTAGATGAACCCTAGGAAACCCCATCTTATCAGATACCAGTAAGGTACAAGCCTGTCGAACATTTGAAATTTTTAGCATCATGCTGAAGGGGGAGCAGAATTTAACAAGGTGAAGAAAATAAATTGGCAGGCAGTATGATACCTGTCATACAGTCTAGCAGCTTCTTCTTGAGTGCCAACTGTACCCAAGTGGATTTGTTTTTTATCAACCTTTATTGCAGCTTGCCATTTCATATTTTTAAAGTAGACACCTCTCATGAGACATGGTTCTTGGTTTTCAAAGTGCTTTCTCCTGTGTCGCTTTCTGCGTTTAACTTCTGGAACAGCAATGTACAAATGTTATTTCATGGGATGCAAGCAGCACTTCTAAAGACACAAGAGATCCCTTAGCGCTCAATGTGAATATTCCTGTGCTAAGATTTATGGAACTAGAGTGTCTTCCAGTCAAGCCAAGAGCTGGTGGTTTAAGTAGTAGTATTCAAATAGCTCCCAACCAATTCAAATGTTGATTCAGGTAAAGAACAAAATGGAGCAATTAGTCATTTGATGAAACTTTTTGATGATAGATATGTTGATGACAGCAATCAGCAGTTAAGTTTCAAGTGACATCCCACAAAAATGAAATATTGATATTCTAAGGCCAGAAGAATTGTCATACAATGTGTACTAGATATAGTAGCCACATATGGCTTCTCAAAACCTAGATTAAAGAAGTTATGTACCATGACTATTGAGGAACAGAGGAAGCTAATTAATTATTCAAGGTGATTCTTTTTTTGTATTTACGAGCATAGAAAAGCAGAGCAATCACACACATGCAGTAAAAGACATCGTCAATATATGTGCTTCCAATGTAGTTCAAGGCGCGCTTTAAGCACACTTAAGCCCTGAAGCGAGGCTCAAAGCGTGGCGAGCGCTTCGCCTCACTTTATGTGCGCTTCAATGTCATCCTCAAGGTTCTAAGGCTAACTTTTCCTTGCCAATGAGCCTGTTTTGAAGAAGTGACACTAAGCGATTGATATTTCACTTTATCATAAAAAAAATTCAATTTCTTTGGTCTTATATTTGTCATGTTTATAATTATTAATGTTGGACTAGACACACACACACACACACACACACACACATATATATATATATATATATTTGTATTTTTTTCTCCCTTTGCGCCTTTTTTCATTAAAGCCCACACTTTATTTGCGCTTTGCACTTAAAGCCCCAACGGAGCTGTTTTGCGCTTTTCACCTTTGACAGCACTGTGTGCTTCATGCTGTTGAGATTTCTTGAGTTTTTGTCTGCAATAGAGAGTTGCTTCGCGCTGGTCAATTAATTATCATGTTTTCATTTAAATATACTTGAAGAAAATTATTCATGAACAGATTTATAGGATTCCACTGTGTCCTCATCAGTCTGGCTATTACACAATAAATGAATCAGCTGGTAAAGTTAGTTAGCTTTGCCATATTAGTAATTAGGTAAGACTGTTGATTAGTTAGAAGAAGGTAGCAGATAAGATTCTTTCTCAGGTATATATATGGCATTGTATCATTACAGATTGAATCATCGACTGAATGTTCGAGTAAACTTTCCTATTGAATTCTATGCTTCATCATCTTCTATCCTTTCATCCACCATTGCTGAATGACTCGAGCTTTCCCCACCCCTCAACCCCGTGTTCTAATCTTCCGCCTTTTTTATTTTCTTATTTACCCCAGATTTTTCCTTACTCCTTTCGACCAGCTTTATTTAAGTAGCAGCACTAGACTTCGTAAAACACAACAGTTCCCATCAGTTTATATGAGATTACAACTTTGTTTCAGAAGCAACAAAATTTTAAAGTCAGATAAACAAGCAGCGGGTCTGAACAATTATGTGCAGTCATGTTGAAGATACCGACACAGACATATTTGAATTTTGTTGTGTGTACCATAAAGATCTGCATCATAAAGATCTGCAGATCTACCCTAATATAATGAAATAGAAATACAGTCAACCAGGTGATCAAACCATCATTAGTATATAAGCAAAAACCTGGAAATTGTTGAGCGGTTTGCTCCATCAAGGAGCCAGAGGCATGACTATTCGATGATCCAGGAACAACTTTTACAGCAATTTTCTGGAGAGCATTGAATCAATAGATTAGAATAAAAAGAATGCCAGCAGAACTTAAGAGTTCAATAAACAAACATGAAATTCAATGGTCGGGTAGAGGATCCCACATGATCCTTTGTGAATTAAAATCCTATTGACTGGGAAGAAAATATACATGTTAATCTGCTCACTGTAATAGTGACAGTTGTGCCTTGACGTATTAGTAATCAATTATTCTTTCCTTGCTGTAACTGAAGCAGATGTTTGGAGAGAATACTATTATTCAAAATTTAAAGCTGGACAGAACCTAAGATATTTACAGATTTGGCTTCATCATATCACTTGACTTTATTTTACTAGTCAGAATGCTATCAGTTATAGGCCATAAACTGTGAAAGGAGCAACAAACATGGTCGGCTATCCACTAAAATCTCATTGCTTGGAGACATTAGTGATAAACCTCCTCCAGTGGACACATTATCTTTTTCCCTTTTGTGTGTCATAGCCAGTATTATTTACACAGAGAAACAAGTGAATTGAATTTGCTCCATCAGACACAAAAGTATTTTTCAATGTAAGCTTTTTCGGCAGAGAACCTAGAGGACCCCTTCCTTTTCTGCATGAAATGATATGAGGAACAAGCTGAAACACACACAATACAGCACAGGACATAACAGCATAACAACAGTTGTCATGTCTTACCAAATGCGGTAGAATTTTCACTTAAACTTCCCTCTACAAGACACAAAATAACTACCTATGCTGAGGAAGCCACTTCCACTAATTTGATCGGTACTCTGGAAATGTTTTACGTAATTCTGAAGATAAGAATCAACACATTTAGCATAGATCTTCGCTTCCTTATTATTGAAATTAGTTTGCTTAAGCACAATGGTATGGAATAGCAACCTATGTTTAGTAGGAAACATATTAAATAAACTCTCAAATAAGTTTTATCCTAGCAGATTAACTTAGTGATATTCAAACGAATCAATCTTTTCATGATAACCCAAAATAGAAGGAAATGGAACAGAGACAATATCCCTTAGGAAGGTCGCATCATGTACTGCTTCTTCAAACGAATCATCCATAAGAACCATTTGGCTGAAAACTACTTCATTTGCTAATTCAAGACACAATTGACTGCAGGCAAAAGATCCATAGAAGAAGCCACCCCAGTACTATAGAGACTTCCCTAAAATTGTCAAAAGGTGATTCCATATTGCTTCTATTTCATTTAAAGATTAATGATGTCAGTGTTTAAACTATTACATCCTTCTTACTTGATCTAGTCTTCAAAAGATTATATGGAGACTTTTGAAAACAAAATCAGGAAAATTTAGACATTCATGCTCATGCAACATATTAGCACGATAGTGAAGCATATAGATAATGCTATCACTTCTCTTTCAGATACACTAAAATTACTAATTGAAGGGATGCAACAAGAATAATGAGAACGCCTTTAAACTAATATATAGTAGATATACCAAACATCAATAAACTATTCATACCTCTTTTGACTCATCAATATCAGTTGATGGCATTGGGTGTACACTAGTGGGTCTGTTGCTGAAGAAACGATGTTCTGCGAAGTGCCCATTCTCAGAGAATTTTGGCAGTGGAACCAAGAAGGCGCTCCGTCCTTCATAATCATTTGTGTATCAAGAAAAGTTATCCAAAAGTATTGCTAAACTTGTTAAGTAAATTCACCCAAGAGTGAAAAATATAAATATATAAAAGTGAAAACAGGGCATTCTAGTTTACAATAGATAGAAAACTTGGCAACTGTATTTTACGAAGTATAGAAACTATGCATCTACCGGACTTCAATGATTATTATAAACCAAGATACACTAACTTTCCATACCAGAGCAAAGTCCTAACAGCTTGCGCCTTCGGATGCTCACCATAGCTCACCAAATTATGCCTAGCAGAATTCCAACAGCACGAAAATTAGAAAGTTGGAGACGCATTTTTGCATTTGCAAATAGCAGAATATTGCCAACTTGTTAGGTAAAGTAGAACAAATGCCTAATCTGGCCCTTAGATTGCTGGGAATTGATATCATGTATGAAACAAGATATATTTACTCATAAAACACAGTGTAAGTGAAATCTGAACTGTAATTCATAATATATTATCAGCATTACACATATGATCACTTCCAGAACAAAGTCAGCAGCTTGATGCTGGGGAGATGTAGCTAAAACTATGACAACACAGTTAAAATCAAGATTCTGTCATTCCACACTACTGAATCTACCTGCTGATAAAATTAAGCCCCAAAAACAATTAGTGGAAATTTTAGCCTTGCATAGAAAGAATGATAACATTTAGACTAGTTAGAGGTCAATATTGTCACCCTGGGGTTGGGAGATTTTCACATTCCATACAAAGAATCTTAAACATTCAAGTGACATACCAAAGACTAAAAAACATGAACCCCCAAGTTGCAGCAGGCATTGAAGATAATTTTTACATAAAATAAAGCAAAAAAAAAAAAGTAGACCCTGTTGGAAGATAAGGTTATGTAGACCAAGTCAACCCTCACCAACCTACCACCTTTTGTGGAGAAGAGAAAATTAGAAGAAGAAAGATGCAAACTTTCCAAGACTAGAGAGTATAGACATCAAAACAATCAGAGAACAAAGGGTAAAAGAACCACCCACATGAAAAAGAAAGTAGCATTATTTGTTATCATCCAAAGCACAATGACCAAGGTGAGTAATAGTAACAAAGAAATTATCCCACATGTTAAACCATAAGTCAAAAGTAACTCAAAAGAAACAAAACCAAAAACCAAGAAAATACTAGTACCTTAAAACTACAAGAGGAAAAGTAGTTGAAAATCAAGAATCTTGAAATGGGGATTTAGGTGGGGGAAAAAGAAGGGATTTTTTTTTAATTCAAGTTGAAAAGGGTTGAGAAAGAAGAGGGTGTGGTAGAAAGAGAGAGAGAAAGAGGTGGAGATTGTGTTTGTAGAAGTAGTTGTTGTTACTCATGCATCTACCACCTTTTGTTTTTATTTATACTCTCATTATGTCTTTCTTTTCTAACACTGGGCTGGCTGGCTGGCTGGCTGGCTGTTGATGCTGGTAAACCCCCTCTCTACTATCTTTAAGGGGTGGGGGGTAGTGGGGTAGAAAGAGATACAAACAAGAGAGTTAATATAGAGAGAGAGATTATAAAATGAGTTGAAACTTCTTCTATAATAATTACTTATAATATAGAATATATATATTACTTAATGACCATTTTGCCCCTATTGTTCATGGAAAAGTCTTTTTGTATATTCATATTTTTCATGACAAAAATACCCTTGATTAATCTACAGCCTCTTATTTTTGAAAAAAAAAAGATCCTAAAAAGAATCATTTTTCTTTAAGTGAAAAAGGAAATGCAATATTTGTGTATTGGATAATTGCGGGGCCCTCTTGAAAATAATACTTTTAAATTTATTAATTAATTATATTTTTTTTCAAAAATTACGTGTTTTTTTTTTAAAAAAAAAAGGAGTTGGCTTTGTTGTTGGCCAAACACACTTCTATTATATGGTTGAATGACATATGAAGTCATTGAGAATTTTTTTTGAAGAACTTCTTTAGGTTTGGGTATTACGATTAATACATGATTTATTTAACTAATATTTTAAATATATTCTTGTTATTTAATTTATATTAATTTAATATAATAAAGTTGCACCTTCTATTATATAATATTCTGCTAATTTAATTAATTTAGTCAATCTTTGCTACTTGATAAAATTGACTTTTGATAAGGAAAGAGTACCAAGGGAAAAAATAAATAAATAGTGGAGCACTATGTTTTTAGTAGGTACTACAAAAAAAATCTCCAAATCCCAAGCTCTCAATATAGTTAAAAAGAGGTGAAAATCATTTATGCCGTTTAATTTAATTTTAAAAGTTAATTATTTTTCTTTAATTAGTCTCTCTTTTATTCAAATTATCTTTTAAAAAATATCTATGTATCCTTATATAATTAATCTTCGTCCTTTATCTAGTTAAACAAGTGAATAACAAGCAATGCAAAAATAATTAATAAAAATAAAGTTATGTTTTATAACAAATTTCAATTTATTTTTTTTATAAATATTGCACTGATGACAAACATAACTCATTTAAGAGAAAAATGAAGCTTAAACATACACACATGTATGTAATATACCAAATTTCTGATAAATTCATAAAGAATTATTTTATTTATAACGTTAATTAGATTAATAAAGAAAATTAAATATCCGAGAGACAATAAGATATGATATAGATGGATGGTTGGAAATGTCAAAGGCAAAATTTATATTGAATAGGATAAGAGGAAAATACTGTAGATTATTCATAATTTGGATGAAATATGATTTCTTAAGCAAAATTAAGGGTATAAATAGTTTTCACCTTTACAAATAATTAATACATTCTTAATAAATAATAACATTTCAAGTGCATTTTTTAATATCATAAAAAATTACCCTTTTACATTTAATATTTTTTTCTGGGGGACTAGTGATTTTAATTAACGTATTATCGCATAATTTCAATTCTATTCTATGTGCTATTTGGTTATGTAAATTTGACCATTAATTATTTGAAGTGTGTATTTTCGAGCTTTTAAGTTAACAAAAGCTAACTATTTAAAAGAATGAGTTTATTGGTAATAAGAAAATTGAAATTTATAAATACTTGAATGTTAAATTTAAAAAGAATTTGAAAGTTATTAGGATGATAGTCTTAGGGAGCTTGTCACCTATTAAACTCTTTGTGTATTTGACCTTATTAATAATTATTTAAAAGGGAGGAAGAGTGAGTTGCTAATGAATAAAACACAGAACAAACAAAGAAGCAAATGAGATCGATTAATATGTTTAAAATAATCATTTTAATTGTATTTTCTTAAAAAATAAAAATATAATAGTATATACATTATTCTTCAAGTATTAGGAATCACCAACCCTTTATTTTATGTATTTTTAAATTATTATTTTGTTATATAATTAACTTTTATTGATTTTCATAATCAAAATCGCACGCTTCGATTAATTAAAAGTTATTTATGCTTAATCAAATAAGACCATCAACTAAAAACTGAAATTATGTAATAATACAAAGGTTGAAATTGTTATTTTTCCTATTTTTTTTTTTACACTTGTTCGTCTAGATTTGTTGAACTTAATATATATATATATATATATATATATATATATTATATTCCTTTAAAAAAAGGTGTATTACTTGAGTACTTTACAACACATATATTGCTTTTTTGAGAGACTGATTCTGGAACCCCTAACGGGAGGAAATTGGGTAAGATGCATCCCTATTAATGAATAGACTTGCAAAATTTTCTATCTAGCACAAGGGGAGATAGATACTACAAATAGTATTAAAATAGACATACCTTCAAAAATAAAAGGTGATATAAATGTATGTTAGTCGAAAAGCTTTTTTTTCTTTTTGGTCATAAAAGATTACTTTCATGATACTTTAAGTGATTAAAAATATATTGAAAATAGCATCGTTGGTTACGTTTATCTTCAGCAAAAGAAATACATCCCTATAAGGATAGGACCCAATATAATATACTATTGGTTTGTATGGGCTAAGTCAGGACTATGAAACCAATAAGGAACAAAGAAACAAAGAATTACTTCTTCTTCTTCTTTCTTTTCATTAGGCATTATTCGTTTGATTAATTTAAATTTATATTTAAAAATATTAATTAATGAGGATAAAACATATGTATTGATTTTAGATTTTATATTTTGATTTTAAACTCGAAATATTTTATAGCTATTTGACCATAAAGTTTAAATATTTTTTTATTTTATTTAAAATTTATGAAATTGTAACACATTATATTATGATTTTGCATCAGAAAAGAGATTTCAAGAAATAGCATATCTACAGAAATAAAGCTATAATTGATTATATTTTTTATAAAATATTTTGGAAATAATGTTTATGCTTCAATGTACTTAAATACTCTTTTAAAGTGAAAATAATTTAAAAACAAGTATAAGTTATGGATAAATAAATTTCAACGCTTTCATGGCTCTGCGGTGAGGCACAAACTTCATCAACAACATATCTAATGAAATTTCACAATTGAGGTCTAAAGAGGCTAAAATATAAGCAAATTTAGTATCACTTCGTGGAGGAAGAGAAATTATTTTTGAAAGATTCCAACATAAAAAGGAGATAATGAACATAATATAGCAAATACAAGAAAAAGGTGCAAAAATCTACTAGAGAGGAGTCAAAACAATAATAAAATCATGTGATAATCGAGACACCACAAACAATAAACTAGGTTGTATAATTAAAATACTATTAAACAATAAAAATATTTTTTTTCAAAAAAGAAATAAGAACTACCATAATACAACTAGTACCATCGCAAAAACCAAAAACCTAAGCAAGACTCAACGTACCTACTAACATTTTATCTTAATATGTTCCTACTACACCCTCTTTTCTAAGGTCATTTCCTCGATTATCTAAAACTGTGTTATATCATGTCTTATCACCTTTCTCCAATAGATCTTCAACCTACCTCATCTGTTATACCCTCTATAATCAACCTCTCGCACCTGCACATCTCCTCATCACATGTCCAAACAATATTAATCTTGTTTTTCCTCATCTTGTCAACTAAAGAGATACTCCTACCTTATCCGGGATATCCTCATTTCTAATCTTATCTCTCCTCGTATGACCACATCCACCTCAACATCCACATCTCCGCAACATGCTTCTTGTGGAATGAGAGTTCTTGACTGGTCAATACTCTATCTCATACAACAATATCGATCGAACCATCTGTAATGATCCAGTCGGTCATTTTTAGAAAGTTTCACGAATTTACCGTTTTACCCTCCCGATATTGACCCCGAGTATTCTATGACTGAGTTTTGAAAAGTTGATTTTGAACTCGGAGTTAAAAGTTGAGAATTTGGTAATTTTGAGTTTGAAATGCTAAGTTGTTATGAATGTGTTATTCAATGTCTTTTAGAGTTTCAAGTCTCAGAATGGAATTCCGTTAATCCTTTCAGTCTCGAAACCTGAAATATGATCATGAGAATTGTCGATTTCTAATTCGGAGTTTTTTTAGGATTTGAGGTCCTAAGTTGTGAAATTACGTAATTGTGAATTTTTATCCTTTCGGTTGCCTTTGGTCAACATACAGGGTTCGGATGCTCGGATCAAAATTTCAAGTCGAATTTGGGGGGATGATTTTAGGCCTAGATAGGTTTTAGTTGATTTTTGAAAGGTCTCAAGCTTGTTTAAGTCATTTTAGGCGTTGAGTTAGTTTCTTGTGATTTCACGGATGTTGGGCAAAGGATACCTCAAATTCGTGTTTGGATGTTCCATTGAGTCCGAAATATTGAGTATAATTGATTTGCAGATGTGGTTTGAATGTACGGGATTTCAAACGAATCTTGAGGGTCTTTTCGAGGTTTAGAGTGTTGAGTGATTTTCTAATTTCTGTGTTTTGGTGCTCTCCGCTTTTGTGAGGCTCGCTTTAGCGAGATTAGTTTCGCATTTCCGAATAAACCTTTGCTTAAGTGAACTTCACTTTAACGACCTTCACTTAGTGATCTTCGCTTTAGCAAAAGCTGTTCGTTTTTGCGATGCCCACATTTTAAGAATGATTATGTGGGAAAGGCTTACTTTACTGTTGACTCAATTTGGTCTCTCCCCCTTCTCGCACTATTCCTCTCTACTAAAAAAAGTGATATACTTATAATCTAGAGAACCTTTTCGAGCATCTAATCTTCTCGGGGCAATTAAAAAAAAGTTTTTATCATTGCCTTTCATTCCATTATCATAATTGAATAATTACTTTTCCAAATGGTCAAGTCATAGTGAGATTAAATCCGTAAGCGGACCCCTTATCATATTTTAGATATCAGAGAGAATTTTTTCTTTCATTTTTAAGTCGTATTTCACCATTTTTGAGTTTTGAGAGCCTTGGTGTGGCGATTTTGACCAGATTTTGAGGGAAATCTTTTAGGTAATGATTTTTAACTCTAGATCTTCAATTATCCATTATTATTTATGAATCCACGTGTTCAAATCAAGCTTTTGAAATGAATAATTTGGGGTTATCTTCAAGAACCCGAGATATTAATAAAATAGTGATTTTTTTGAAG